CTAAGTCTACGCAAAATACTTCAGATTCGTTAGCCAGACAGCATCAACATCAAACAACTGAGGGCGAGAAAAAATCAGATTCCAGCGGACGAAGAAATTAGGCAGAAGCACTGGAAGTGGATAAGACACACATTAAGGACATCACCCAACTGCATCACAAGACAAGCCCTCACATGGAACCCTCAACGCCAAAGGAAAAGAGGATCAAAGAACACATTTTTGCCGAGAAATGGAGAAAGACACGAGAAGATTGAACAACAATTGGATAGAACTGGAAAAGTAGCCGGTAGACAGATTAAGTTGGAGAACGCTAGTCGTCAGCCAAGGCTCTTTTGTGGGTAACAGTGTAGTGAAGGAGAACACAGGTGAGGGCAACCGAATTGTATTTAACGAAAATTACAGAGTTACTCAGTAAAATTGGAAAACCATATCGTAAATCGTTCATTTGCAAAATAACAGTTCATCATATCGAACTGGACTGTTCCTGTTGCAAAACATCAATGCATTGTCACTACTATTCATGCATTTCATACACAAATTCTATTGTGTTCCCACTCTTCCTTTCTCTTGATCTTCTCCCATCTTCTGCTGCCAGACATTATGTTGACACTCTCGTCATATACTACTCATAAGTAGCGCACACCACACTCGTCCCCCTTTTTAATAAGCTGTCGTCACTTTCAAAACAGGGACCCTGGTCAGTTAATATCACCTTCCGCATTTCGTGACGCGCTACAATATGCCGGATACCACTTCGGTCATTGTTCTTGCCCGCTGGTCTGGAATGGATACGGCATCTATCCAACGTGTAGCGTTTACTAGTTCCCGCTGCTGGGACACGGCGGCAGGCACACTCTCGATAAATTGCAACGCCAACAACTGTGCCCCCGACTCCCCATCCATACTCGGCAGTGAATGGCGCAGCAATATCGTTAGCTCCACAGCCAGCACCAACGGGTCACCGTCAGCCAACAGTCTCGCCAACCGGAACCTCTGCGGCGCCTCCTCCCTGTCCACTGGGCTGTCGAGTTCTGTCATCAGCCGCCCGGTGACCGTCTCCCACGCCGTCTTCCCGGCGGCACCGTCCAGACTGTCGTATACCGCCTTCGCCTCACCTCCCCGCATCGTCCCCAGCACCGCCAACTCCGCCCCGGGCCCCTTCACACCCACCAGCTCCACCGCGGCCTCAAACTCCTCCAGGAAGCTCCGCAAATCTCCGTCCTCCAACTCCTCCGGCCACGGGGGCCCCTTCCTTCGAGCAGGCAACGACACCAAATGTAGCGAAAGAGAACACAGGTGGGGCAACCGGATGGTATTTAACGAAAATTACAGAGTTACTCAGTAAAATAGGAAAACCATATCGTAAATCGTTAATTTGCAAATCTCCAATCAATCATCAATCCATTGTCTGACATTCCACTATTCATACGTTTCATACAAATTCCATTGAGTTCTTCTAACTCTTCCTTTCTTGTTGATCTTCCCTCATCTTCTGCTGCCAGACATTACGCTGACACTCATGTCATATACTACTACTTATAAGTAGCTCACACCACAACAGGAGTAAATAAGTAAGCGCTATCACATCACACATATTTTTTGTATGTAACTTTTCATAATGTATACTTCCATAAAAGATAATTCACATTTGAATAAGTGTTTTTGTTTTAACATGAACTAATGTAAATTATAACAAGACAGAATTATTTTAAGCGCTAAATAAAAAAACGAAATTAATCAGACAATAACAAGAATAGTAATAATAATAGTAATGAGGTACAAACACATTTCAATAAATGAGAAAAAATAACACACAATTACAAAATAACAGTAGGTGACTATTGTGATCACGTGAAGCTTCTTAAAAGCGAGAATTCATTCTATCTAGCTTAATCATCATATCTAGTTGAGATTGAGTTAGATTTTATATATATAAAGGAGAATCTGTATGAAAAACTATGATTGAGCGTGGATAATTATTAGTGTTGAGTTTTATTTGTAACCATGAATCGATCAATGTTAGACTACCATTAGAAGAAACCTGGAAGCACTGGACGGCCGTTTCGTCCTGGTATGGGACTCATCAGTGGCAGTGCGCATCCACGACTCCTGCACCCCGCAGGATTCGAACCCAGGACCTTCGGTATTGTGCGCGAACGCCCCAACCGTTAGACCACTGAGCCGGTACCTAATGGTGTTAATGTCTAACTTGATCAAATTAACGGGGTTGCGCAACCTCATACCCTGTGTTGAGTTGAAAAAATATTCATTCAATAAGAAAATTGTGTACACAACAGCGATCATGTTTGTAGATTTGTGTGTGTGTGTGTACTGGCTACGTGAAGCCTACCAAAGCTTGCTGGTCTCAGCTTTTGGACAATATGACTAATCCATTCTTCCTACGTCATTATTTGACCTTGTTGATCGTTCGCTTTTATCTTAGTTGTTTCATTTCGAGTATGTGTGTGTGCATGCGCCGTTTACTTCGCTAGTCGTATGCCTTACTTATTTTTGTCTGATTACAAACACTTAGTCATGTTTCATCACATTGAGTTGGTTCAAGCACCTACTCCACACCGCTTCTTTCTGCTTGTGTGCTTTTCATTCTGCCGTCTGTTTAAACGAATGGTTGCTTGAAATAAACTCAATCCAATCGAATCAGTATTTAGCTTCAAACCGGGTTCGCCTAAGTATGATATACAGAAACGAAGCAGGAGATTTTTTATTTGACATAGCATACTCGACTGTTCGTAAATCAAAGTGTCAGCTAACGGGCAACTAAACACAAAATACGAAATGACGTTGTCACTACAAACTATTTTCAATCGAGGTGATCTGTTGTAAATTATGGATCATGAAATTTGATTTTGACCCATTCGGTCTTGTGTGTGCTGTTACGAGTATGAGGGCGGTTGTCACTTCCCGGCTGCTCACACCGTGGAAGGTTGTTTCTTCAGGGACCTGAAAAGGAAGATAGATTAGTGTTGGTCTCGGAGACCTGGGTGCGTGACCGCAGAGTCCAAGGGACAACTGCATTGGGCCGATCACGCACGGCCTTTTTATTAAAGGATTTCTGAGGATCAGCTCCGCTCTTAAAAGCCTATAGTGGGGACCCTTACCGCTGGAGACGGAAATCAGTGAGGCAGGTTGAGGTGTGACATTTTTAGGGTAGGTAGCAGCTACGATCTGGAGTGAAGTAGTCGAGTGTGTAGACCAGCTAACTTATCTGGGGAGTCTCATCAGTGCTGATGGCCGGGAGACTGACGAAATCTCAGCTCGGATACAGAAGGCTCAACTGGCTTTTGCCAACTTGCGTCACTTATAGCTCAGGCGAGACATCCGCTTGTTAACCAAAGGACGAGTGTACTGCGCACCAGTTCGCTCTGTCCTACCACATGGATGAGAAACATAGCCGTTAAGAGTAGAGGAAATTCGTAGGCTACTAGTCTTCGATCATCGGTGTATCCGAAGCATTAATCGTGTATCTTGCGACGACCGAGTAAGCAATGCTATCGTTAGGAAACGAGTTCTAGGTAAGGATGGCAGATCAATAGATGAAGTGGTGAGACCTCTTCAGTTGAGGTGGTTGGGACATGCGTTACGTGTGCCCAACCACCGACTGCCTCGACGAGCTATATTTTGCGGTGTGGAAATAGGTTGGAAGTAAGCTAGGGGCAGCCAAACCAAAACATGACACTAACAAGTGGACTGAGTCATGTTGGTAAATGTAGACTACCTGGTTTTGTTCCACGAGACGAACGTCCCCGATGGTTAGAGACCTTGAACAACATGGCTCAGAATCGTTTTCAATGGCGCAGGTGCATCCACTCTTTGTGTTATATGAAATTTTAAGCTTCTGAATTCCTCATAATCTCTATCTTTCTCCTTCTAAATTTATCTCACTGAATTATACTTCTCGAATCATATCTTCACTCCCTAATCTTCTTCATTACTGCTAATACTTCTACTATCGCAATCACTCTTGCATTTGAACTGACAGTTACGTCTCCGTTTTTACGTGCTATGGCAAATTGAACTGATGTACTGACGTACAAAGTTCTGCGTTTTATCTGTCTGATCATTAAATTAATGTTTCATTCACCCATTTTAACAGATCCATGTAGTGGATATATACAGAGGGTTTTCTAAAAAAACCAAAAGCTCATTAGATGATGAGTTATTACTTTTATCAATTTGTATACTAACGACAATTTCCTATTGACTAAATTCAATTATTTATTACAATGAAGTTTAAATATAGTCATTTTGAAATAGCCGTTAAACAAAAAATAATTGTATGAGTAGAAAGCAATCTCCAATATATGACTGACTTTCACAACGGACTATTAGTAATGTTATAACGAATAAATCTTTGCACAACATGTCATAACCATCAGAGTTCAATGTAAATCAAGTAAACTTTCTATCATCTAACAGTTTGTAAGAAACTGCTGATGAGTTCCATACCAGGATGAAACGGCTGTCCAGCGCCTCTAGGTTTTTAATGTTAGTCTAACACTGATCTATTTATGACAATCTCCACAACCCTATTATTGCAAATCATCATATCTGTCCTGTACTCACTAGTGACTAGCTCTATGAAGAAGTTTCTTCGAGTTCTAGTGAGAAGTTGTGAGTGGAGTTCGATTCTATTCACGTGAGAAGCAGTGCTCACCGAAGACAATGGATAAATTTGTGCAACACCGTTTGATACCACCGGCTCAGTGATCCACAAGCTAGTAGTTCATGAGCAAGACCGAATGTCTTAGACTCAAATCCTACGAGTATCAGGAGTCATAGGTGCATACCACCACTGATGAATCCAAGACCAAGACAAAACAACCGTCCAGCGCTTCCTAACATTGGTCAATTCATAATTTCATTTCAATCAACTATGACACACTACTCAACAACTTTCACACAACTAGTCAGTAGTCTATCATATGAAAAAAAAATTAATAAATACACACTTTCAATAAAATTGCAAAAAATTAAATTATCCTCAATATTACTTATTTTCTTTTAACAGAGGAGTAGTATAATAATAATTATAATAACAGTATTATACTTCATGTACAAAAAAATGATGATAATAATAATGTATATTAGTAGTAGTCATTTTTTTTTTGAAATTTAACCTATTTTTTTTTTAAGAAGTTATAATAAATTATATATGCATTAAAAGTTAAATTAGTATGATTTTAGTATGAATGAATGCAGCCAGAGCGATGAAACAACAAAAATCCTCTAGTAGATTGATATTGTGGTCGTTGCATTTTGATTCAATTCATCCTCCTCCACTCCATGATTTCGATCAATGTGACCACCAGTGTGGATCAATAACTTGTGTGTGTTTTTGTTTTTTTGGTCTTATAAATTCTTATTGATGAGAGGAGAATGTTTATTATTACAACTTGTCATACCAGTGAACGTAAACAACAACAACAACAACAACAAAATAATGAATTCATTCATTCATTCATCACATTTGAAGATTTGTTTTGTATTTAAAGTGGAAAGAAAATACGCAAACACACACACACATATGTAGAGACACAGACACACAAGGATAGACACGTATAACCAGTTATAGATAGAACGTGTGACAAACACACACACACAGTTAGAACTGAATTTGGAACGATTGACAGACACAAACTGACGAGATATAGACAGAGCGTGTGTGTGTGTGTATGTATTACCTGTGTGTGTCTATGCGCGACATAGACAAATTAGACAGACAGTAAATAACAAACAGCATTATACAAAACAAGGTGGCAATATTGTTGTTATTATTGTCATTATTATTAGTATTATGGTGCAGGAAGTCTGAAACACTGGCTGACAAAGACGGCGACAACAACACCACTGTCTGGCGAAATATCAATCAATAAAAGACAACAGAGGATAAATAGAGTGTTTTTTCTTGTTGTTTTCCTATCGCACATCCATACATAGAAGGCTTTTTTTGGTATGTAAAAAAAAGAGAAAAATATATATTGCTGCTTTGATGGGTGTGTGTGTGTGTGTGGTAGGACCCCGCATACTGACAAGATTGATTAGGCGGAGACAGGGCGTTTTTTTGTTGTGTGTATGAATTTGTCCTACACAAAAATAGAAAAAACCATTGTTGTTGGGTGCTGAATGTTGAAGATGATGTTTTTTTTCAGAAGAAGCAAGTCACTGTGTTTATTTTTTCTTGTGGCAAGGAATGAATAAGTTAACAAGAAATCGAATCATCAGGTCAGGTCAATAATATTAGAGTAGAACACTCACAATGCGATGCAATACGATGATTATAGGCGAGTGGGGATAAACGCATAGGTCAATATGGACCGGGATTATATTCACAAATTGAACAACAACATGTCAATGTAAATACGAAGATAAGGATATAAAGTAGGTAGAAGTAGGCAGACAGGCAGGTTAGGAGGCAAGGAGGAGGGAGTACAAAGATACATCGTCGGTAGGCGATCACTGACCATGGTGAACATATGACACAATTAGCAGCCAGTGGTGTAACTGGAAAAACAAAAACCAACCGTCGCGTTTTTTTGTAACAATCGTCATTGGATGACAGATTATAGGAACAGATAATAATATTAATAATAATAATAGGAGAAAGACTGATTTCGTTCGTTCACTTTTTTTTCCTTCAGTGCAACTTCACCATTCAACACACACACACACACCCACATATATAGAACAACTACTACTGTACAATAATTGAAAGATGAAGAAGAATAACAGCACATTGAACAATGATGATGGCAACATCACACAAGGAAATAAATATTACGAGTGTAAGTAAACTGAAGAGAGAAAAAACAATTACATAAGTATTTATTTATAAGTATATATATAGCCAGGGTAAAACCTGAGAGAAATTTTTTGAATAAAAAATAAAATTGCCGCCAAACAAACCAAAAATACAATACACATGAGCCGGGGTTAGGAGAGGGGTGGTGGTGGTGTTGGTGTAGTGCAGTGCAGTACAATAATACAAATTAACAGAAACAGAGAAATAAATTCAGAAAGAACGAGTTATATTATGCGACAACACCGACAATAACGACGTCGTCTTGCGAAAGTCAATGTAGGCGGTGTACCAGGAGCGAAATACGCATGAATTTGAAGTTGCGGATAATGTAACTATATATAAATATATATAGGGAAATTGAGGATGAAAAAAACAAGGCAAAAATAACATGAATAGTATGTTGATTAATGTTTGAAATTATGTCACTAGTACAATTGCAAAATACAGTTGTGGTGCGCGCTACTTATAAGTAGTATATCACGTTAGTATCAACGTAATGACTGGCAGCAGAAGATGAGGGAAGATCAAGAGAAAGGAAGAGTGGGAACACAATGGAATTTGTATGAAACGCATGAATAGTGAAATGTCAGACAGTGGATTGATGATGGATTGAAGATTTGAAAATTAACCGTTTACGATATGGCTTTCCTATTTTACTAAGTAACTCTGTAGTTTGCGATAAATACAATTCGGTTTCCCTCACCTGTGTTCTTCTTCATTACACAGTCATTCAGTCAGTTACAAAGTAGAACTTCGTATATCAGTACATAAGTTCAGGTTACTATACCGCAATAGCACAGAGACGCAACTATCAGTTCAAATACCATAGTGGTAGACATAGTAGGAGTATTATCGGTAATGGAAAAGATTATTGATCGAAGATATTTTTCAAGATGTATAGTTCTCAGCACGGATACAGAAAGCTCAATTGGCTTTAGCCAGCTTATAGCGTAGACGAGATATCCGCTCGCTAACCGAAGGAGGAGCCTACTACTACTCAGCAGTTCACTCTGTCCTACTATATGGATGCGAACCATGGCCGTAACAATAGAGGACATTCATAGGCTATTAGGATTCGATTATAGATGTCATCGAAACATGGTTCGTGTATACTGGGACAACTTTCTGAATTCCTCATCATCTCTTTCTGTTTCTTAAGTTATCTAATTGAATTATACTTCTCGAATCATATCTTCGAACCCTAATCTTCTCCATTACCGATAATACTTCTACTATCTCTACCACTATGAGATTCGAAATGACAGTTGCGTCTCTGTGCTGATGCGGTGTGGCAACCTGAACTTACGTACTCATGTACGAAGTTCTACATTGTAAGTGACTATTGGCAAGGATAATGTTTTACAGTGGTTTTCAGGAGAACCAACACCAACTGGAGCCCCTTGCTCCGTGGCTATGACTGATCTCAAGCTCGGATAAAGGAGGAGGGTTGGGTGTATGAGGTTTGTGACCTCATTCTGTAGAAAACTAAATCGCTAAGAAACGCTAACCAGAAAACATAATTCAAACCATTTTAATCCTGCATTAGTAGTTAGAAGGTCATCATTCAGACTTCTTATGATGAAAGCCGAGTTCCTTCGGAAGTCACGAGACCGATGCTCCTTCTGACAGCCAGAGAAAACATACTTTTAGGTACACAGAATGTTTAAACAGAGTAGGTTCGAGAATACTGGTCGGTGGCCTAAGCTCCATAGTGGGGGTAACAGGCGTAAGTAAAGTAAGTTTCAGGAGAACCAAGGAGACTGCCCACGTGTTATACATTTCAACGTGGACAGTTCGGCTCAATCTCGTGGTGCAACCACACAGGTACCACACACCCTGGAGGACCATTCACACCATTTATGTACAGCAGTAGATATATAGTGATTATTTCCATTCAATGATCGCGTCAGTCAATATGCACCGCATGAACAGGCGAGTTCGACGCATCCCGCTTACATGTCTGTCACAAGCTCATACTTATTAGCAATGGTGATATGCAATAGAGCACCCCAATGGCCCTCGGGAACGTTGCAAAACAACCACCAGTATCAATGAAATCGATCACCCTGCTTAGCAATTTTGTATATGAACTGTTAGCAATACTTCCCAAAGCAATGCCAAGCCATCCACAATGTTTACAACGAACCTCTGCTCGCATATAGGAAACCTTCAGCTCCATCAAAGCAGTATAGCATACAGTATACACATAGTATGGTATAGGATAGCAATACATACAACCCATCAGCCACCACAATGATCACTTAAGTTCAAAAGGGCTTCTTCATAGTACTTACCTATAGAACAACTCACCTTAGAAAGTTGTGAATTAAGCATTGTTAAACCACTAGCAGAACTTGGAAGCATTAGACGGCTATTCCGTCCTAGTGTGGGACTCATCACCAATGCTCATCCACAATACCCACTAGCGGGAATTAAATCCGGGACCTTTAGTCTTGCGCGAGTGTTTAACTCACTAGTGACTAGCTTTATCAGAAAATTCTCAGAGTTCTAGTAAGAAGCCGTGACCAGCGGAGTTCAACCTTGTCCGGTGTAGGCAATGGGTAAGATTGCGCAAAATCTTACATTGATTAAAGTTAGACATTAATATCGTTGGTTGCCGGCTTAGTGGTCTAGAGATTAAGCGTCTGTGTGCCAGACCACAGGTCCCGGTGTAGTGGACGAGAACACAGGTGGGGCAACCGAGTTGTATTTAACGAAAATTACAATGTTACTCAGTAAAATAGGAAAACCATATCGTAAATCGTTCATTTGCAAAATACCAGTTCATCATATCGAACTGGACTGTTTCTGTTGCAAACAACATCAATCCATTGTCACTACTATTCATGCGTTTCATACAAATTCCATTGTGTTCTAACTCTTCTTCATTTCTTGATCTTCTCCCATCTTCTGCTGCCAGACATTACGTTGACACTCACGTCATATACTACTTATAAGTAGCTCGCACCACACCGGGTTCGATTCCTGTAAGCAATGATCGCGGATGCGCACTGCTAAAGAGTCCCACACTAGGACTACAACCACCGTCCAGTACTTCCAGGTTTCTTCTAATACTGGTCTAACATTGATCGATTCGTGATTTTAAATCATTATTCTGTCAAATATAAACTTCTATCAAACAATCTGCCTAAGTCTTCCAACTGAACACAACAGACTCATTGTAATTTCGAAGAAGTAAAGACAATTAATTCAGTGAAGAATATTTCTCTCTTTACTATCATGTCATAAAACTGTACAAAAGCATCTAAAGTGATGCAACAATTGTATTAGTTTATGTAAACAATTATTCTGTAACGAACAAAAGGTATCGGTAAGTGTAAGCAATGCTGTTGTTAAGAAACGAGTACCAGGTAAGCATAGCAGGTCAATAGATGAAGTGGTGAAACTTCATCAGTTGAGGTGGTTGGGACATGTGTTGCGTATGCCAAACCACCGACTGGCTCGAAGAGCTTTGCTTTGCGGTGTAGTAATAAGTTGGACGAAAGCTAGGGGGCGGCCAGACCAAAACATGGCAGAAATCCATGAAGTCATTGACGAGTGGACTGAGTCATGTCAGTAATTGTCGACTACCTGGTTGGGGTCCGCGAGATGATAATAATCGATGGTTAGAGACCTTAAGTGACATGGCTCAAAACCGTTTGCATTGGCGCCGGTGCATTTATTCTTTGTATTCTCTCAAATCCTAAACGTTTTAATTCCTCATCACTTTATCTTTTCAAATTTATCTCATTGAATAATACTTTTCGAATCATGTCTTCGAACCTTCCTAATCTCTCCGACTACTGCTAAAACTTTTATTATGTCTACTAATACGGGATTTGAATTGACAATTATGTCTCTGTGTGCTAATTTGGTATGTCAACTTAAACTGATGTACTTACGTACGAAGTTCTACGTCGCTAAAAGGAGAAGGAATTAGTTTGTTAGACTGTAATTTATCTGATTGTCAGTTTCTTAATAGTTGGGAATCACCTGCCTATCTAATAATCAAAACAACATCGAATCAGTCTGCCAAGATAGTGGAGTGCATCACTTTAAGCTTTTCCAATTGGAAGCAGCAAATCAATGCGATAAACAGAAATATTAAAAGTATTCATATACAGCAAATGTTATCAATAACCGAAATTCTTAAATTCATAATCAAAAAACATCTTCAAGTATAATCCTTCTTTTGTGTCAGTCAGTCAGTCAGCAACAATGTAGACTTTGGCACATAATACGTACATCAATCAGTTCAAGCTGCCATATCACATTATCACATACAGATGCAATTGTCAATTGCAATCGCATAGTGACCGAAGAATAAGTGCCAGTGAAATCAACTTAACAAAAAGAAGAGAGAAAGACAAAAACGGATACCGAAAAAATGATACCCATAATGAACATTGAAGAAAATTCAACATGTTGTGTATTGGCACTTACCTCTAAACTATGAATTCCTTGTTTTGTAATTAACTGACAATCATATAAATCTAATTGTCGTAGTTTACGACAATTACTACCTAAATGCTCTAATGCTGCATCAGTTAACAATGGACAATTATCCATAGCCAGTGTTTGTAATTGATCTGTACCACAAAGTCCTTCAGCTAGTCGTGCAATACCTTCATCAGTGACTTGATCACAGTGAGACAGCACGAGTGTGTTTAAACGTGGACAATGTACAGCAAGTTGTGCTAACGTTGCATCGGTAACTAATGCACAATCTTCTAAATCTAATTTTTCAAGCTGTTCAACAAAGAAGAGAAAAGAAATAGAGAATCAATGAACAGAATTATTAATGTCAATATATATAGTAAGGAGTATATTGTGTGACCGGCCTCCAGCAGTTGTCCCTTGGACTCTGCGGTCACGCTCCCAGGTCTCCAAGACCAACACTAATCTATCTTCCTTTTCAGGTCCCTCAAGAAACAACCTTCCACGGTGTGGGCAGCCGGGAAGTGACAACCGCCCTCATACCCGTAACAGCACGAGAGATCAATTTGGTCGAAATCAATTTGGTAGCAGGAGTCTCGTGGATGCACACTGCTAATGAGAAGGTTTTATTATACAAGAATGAAACGGCCGTCTAGTGCTTAAAAAGTTTATAATGATGGTCTTCTAACAATGATCAACTGATGATTTCAATGATCAAAATAGTTAATTCATTTATCGAGTGTACATTGCACCTTAGCTACACTCTATGATGGCTACTGATACTATTCAGCTGTCAAAATTGAAATAGAAAGAGAGTCAAGTTCATTCAAAGCTGAAACTTAAAGATAGTGAGAGAGAGATTAGAGTTCAAATAGCGTTAACCATTGATTCACTTCACGATAGCGACAAGGCTCAGAGGCAAATGTCAAATCAAATCCCATAGTGATAAAGATAGTAGAGGTATTAATGGTAATGAAGAAGACTAGAGGGTTTGAAGATATTATTCAAGAAGTACAATTCAGTTAGATAAGGTTAGAAACAAAAAGGTAGAAGTGCTGACGATTCCAGAAGATTAGGATTTGAGAGAGCACAATGAGTGGATGGATGCATTTGCGTCACTGTAAATTATTCTGAGCCATGTCGTTCAAGGTCTCTAACCATTGTTGACTTTCGTCTCGCGGACACCGACCAGATAGCCTACATCTACCAACATAACTCAGTCCATATGTCAGTGACTTTATGGATTTCTGACATGTTTTGGTTTGGCCGCCCCCAAGCTTTCTTCCAACCTACTCCTACACCACAAAACATAGCTAGTCGCAGCAGTCGGTGGTTAGGCATTCGTAACACATGTCCCAACCACCTCAACTGATGAAGTTTCACCACTTCATTTATTGATCTGCCATTCTTACCTAGCACATAGCAGAAATGCATTAAGTGACTGATAAGTGGACTGATTCATGTTGGTAAATGTAGGCTATCTGGTTGGGATCCGCGAGACAAAATTCACCAATGGTTAGAGACCTTGAATGACATAGCTCAAAATCTTTTCAGCAATGGCACAAGTGAATCCACTCTTTGTGTTCTCTCAAATTCTAACCTTCTGAATTCCTCATAATATCTGTCCTTCTCCTTCTAAATTTATCACACTGAATTATACTTCTCGAATCATTTCTTCACTCCCTAATCTTCTCCATTACTGTTAATATTTCTATTATCACTATCACTCTTGGATTTGAACTGACAGTTACGTCTGTGTGCTGATGTGGTATAGCAACGTGAACTGATATACTTATGTACGAAGTTCTGCGTTGTATCTGTCTGTCTGTCTGTCTGTCTGCATGGAACTGTTAAAATGGACAAATGAAACATTAATTTCATGATCCGTAATTTACAACAGATCATCCCAATTGAAAATAGTTTGTAGTGACAACGTCATAGTGAAAACTTCATAAACAATACCTCTACAGAGAGAAGGTAATTGAGTAGAACCTCCTTGGCAGTGGCTATACACGTGTGGCTCTATGAGAGTATTTAAAGAGCAAAATTGAAGGTCATGAAAGTACAATTAAAATCTATTTTGGTAAACTTCAGAGTACCGATATTGTTCCCGACCGAAGGTGCTACCTTGACGTGGTGGTCGGGCTTGACTATCGTCATGACCGAAACGAGCTATATTGGCTGGAACATATGTTCCTGAAGGTTCTACCATGCCAGGCAGGTCGATTGGAGAACGATGATACTAAAAGCAGCTACTCAAGGTCTGAGGGAGAAGTCAAACTGCTGTATCTGTAGAGAGGTGTGAGAGCAGTAAGGTGTTTCCCTAGGACAACCAGCATATGCAGCGATGCTGCCTTCTCACAAGGAAGGAAGGGTTAGAAAAGGTCGACCCTAAAAATGTCACACCTCACCCTACCTCACGGATTTCCGTCTCCGGTGGTAAGGGTGCCCACTAAGGGCCTTTAAGAGCGGAGCTAATACTCAAAAAACCTTTCATAAAAAGGCCGTGAGTGGCAGGCCTCAAGCAGTTTTCCTTTGGGCTCTGCGGTAATGCTCCCAGGTCGTTATGACCAACACTAATCTATCTTCCTTTTCAGGTCCCTGAAGAAACAACCTTCCACGGTGTGAGCAGCCGGGAAGTGACAACCGCCCTCATACTCGTAACAGCACACATAAGACCGAATGGGTCAAAATCAAATACCTATATTGTGTATTACGTGTATGGCATAAAGGTTACTTTTCAGACAGAACCTATTAAAATCAATCACTGTAGTATTGTTCATAACTGTTTGTATGGTTTTTTTCATAAAAGTCCAATTAACAGACAGAATTGGTCAATTAAAACAAATTCAAAATTCAAACAAAATTATTGTAATATAATACTTCTAGGGTAAAGATGATTAATCGATTCATTAATCCTACCTACACTGACCGGATTATTGAGTTTAGCAGCTTATGGATTAATTAGTCTTTGAAATCTTTTTCCAACTAACTTGACTGATATTTCAAGTTTTTTGAAAAACTAGTGCAATGATGATCTAATCTCATAGACTCGTTTTAAGTGAAGACCAATGTCAGGCAAGGTTGCTTACGCTCACTCTTCTTCTTAGTCTTGGTGATCGATTGGATTATGAAGATGTCAACGTTTGAGGGGGGGAAGCACAGGATACAGTGGACAGCTAGGATGAAGCTGGACGATCTGAACTTCACAGATACTCTAGCTCTCCTATAGCATACGCAACAACAAATACAAGACGAGTAGTGTAACAGTAGCAGGTCAGTCAGTCAGTCAGATGCAACGTAGAACTTCGTACGTAAGTACATCAGTTCATGTTGCCATAACACATCAGCACAGAGATATAATTGTCAATTCAAATCCAATAGTAGAAGAGGTAGTAAGGGTTTTTAGAAGTAATCCGAGAGGTTAGGATTAGAAGATATTATTGAAGAAGTATGATTCAGTGAGAAAAGTTTAGAAAGTCAAAACTAGAGGTGTTGAAGAATCCAGATGATTAGGATTTGAGAGAACACAAAGAATAAATGCACTGGCGCCATCGCGAACGATTTTGAGCCATGTCACTCAAGGTCTCTAACCATCGATTATTATCATCTCGCAGACCTCAACCAGGTAGTCGACAACTACGAGCAATGCTTTGAAGACACCTATGATCGAAAACCAGTAACCTACGAATATCTTCTACAACAGTAGCAGGTCTCAACACACATAAAGGGAAAAGCGAACTACTACGATACAACACAGCATGCACCAACCAAATCACACTTTGAAACATGTAAAATCCTTCACATATCTGGACAGTATCGCTGATGAACAAGGTGGATCCGATGCAGATATGAAAGCGCAGATTAGCAAAGCAAGAGCAGAATTTCTACAATTGGAGAACATGTACAACTAAAAACCGCTCTATGCGAGTCGGCACCAAAGTCGCAATTCTCAATACATACATATGTCAAGACAGTTGTTCTGCTGTATCGGGCCGAAACTTGGAGAACTACAAATGCCGTCATCCGGAAGATACAAGTATTTATTAACAGTTGTCTACACAAAATACTTCGGACCCTGTGATCAGACACCATCAGCAACAAGCTGCTGGGAGAGATAACAAACCAGATTTCAACAGCGGAAGAAATAGAAAAAAGCGCCAGAGGTGGATAGGACACACATCGTGGAAAGCACTCAACTGCGATACAAGGCAAGTCCACACTTGAAATCCTTAAGGCCAAAGAACACATTACGCCGACAAACGAAGACAGAGATGAGAAGAATGAACAACAATTGGATGGAACCTGAAAGAAAGCTCCACGACAGAGTAAGCTGGAGAAAGCTGGTTAGCGAGTGGCCTATGCTTCCACTAGGCGTAATAGACGCAGTAGTGACACTTCATCAGTTGAGGTGGTTGGACCATGTGTTACGTATGCCCAACCACCGACTGCATCGACGAGCTTTGTTTTGTAGTGCAGGAATAGGTTGGAAGAAATCTAGAGGCGGCCAAACCAAAACATGGCAGAAATCCATGAAGTCATTGACTAGTGGACTTAGCCATGTCGCTAATTGTCGACTACCTGGTTGGGGTCCGCGAGATGATAATAATCGATGGTTAGAGACCTTGAATGACATGGCTCAAAATCGTTTGCAATGGCGCCAGTGCATTTATTCTTTGTGTTCTCTCAAATCCTAATCTTCTGGGTTCTTCAACACTTCCAGTTTTGACTTTCTAAACTTTTCTCACTGAATCATACTTATTGAATAATATCTTCTAATCGTAACCTCTCCGATTACTTCTAATACCTTTACTACCTCTTCTACTATTGGATTTGAATTGACAATTACATCTCTGTGCTGATGTGGTATGGCGACATGAACTGATGTACTATACGCACGGACGAAGTTCTACGTTGCATCTGACTGACTCTGACTAAGGCGTAACAGACATAAGTACGTAACTGATGATTTAAACAACAGTCACAAATTTAATTTACACTTAAAGAAGGCTATTCGAGTTTATGATGTTTGGAAAGCGAATGAATCGTACAGAAGAAATTATTTTGTTAATATGCGCTCAACCTTGCTTATAATCATCTTCATTGTGATAATTCAGATGTTAGTAAAATAAACCCCATACATACACGGGATGAATTCACACCAAAAACAAACAGAACAGTTTGTAGTCATCGATGATGTGATGATAACAATAATAATAATAATAATAATAATAATAATAATAATAATAATAATATTAATAATAATATGGATTGGCCTCAAGAAAAACGGCAAAGATGATAGGCTAATGCAG